AAGAGAATGAGAGAAAGGCTTTGAGGTGGCCCTGCAGCCACGGGAGCAGGGGACGTCCCAAGCTTTGCACGCTCCAAGCACAGCGCCAACCTCTCCACTGCTGGCCGCAGGAGTTTCTCACGCTCCAGCATCTCTATGATGAGCTTGCCCCACTCCTCCTCTACATCGTTGGGGTGGTAACCCTGGGGCAACTTGATGCGGCCAAATTCAATCCATACCTGGAAAAAATAGCAACAGAATGGCATTTCTTACCTTGTTCTCTAGTTGGCAAAGACAGTGGGACTATGAGGCAACAGCACTGCCTCTGCTTCTGTAGCATGCTACGTGCAAGATAATTTACCCTGAGGGGTATTTCCATGTCTCCATTCCAAAACAAACCTAAACTGAGCACGCTTAAGTCTTGCTAAAAGCATAACACTCCCAGCTACATGTCTCTGCGCAGCTGAGAAGATACTTACCTCTAACAGTTTGTACAGCTCCTCTGTCCTTCCTTTCTCCTGCTCTTTCGCTGGGATTTCAGTTTCTTTAAAGTGTATGTACTGATTATAAAGTGCCTGGGATGAGAAAGACTGCATCAGAGATTGGCTTGGGAAATGATGCCATTTGGCTGTCAGAGCTGAGCTTCGTGGGACCCTCCGGAGGGCCCTCTCTCTCCAGGACCTACCTTTAGTTCTACAGGGTTCTGGGGAAATGATTTATCCGACATGAGTATCGTGTGCTGCTTGATCCATGAAATGAGAGACTCCACACGGTTCTGGTATTCAAGCCACCTCGAATCCACTTCCTGGGAAGCGAGAGAGACCTCGTAAAGCACCGCCAACAGGGAGGACCCCACAAGGGGAAAGGCAGAGCACAGCCTCAACAGGTCCAACGGGTCCCCAAGCACAGCAAGAAGAGACCCAATGCAGTGCAGTTACAGCTGTGCTGATCGCGAAAAGAAAGTGGCTGTAACACAGCCTGGCAGCCCGGATCTCCTTGCTGCGACGCTGCCCCACAGGTACAGGACAGAAGAGGGAGGACTCTTCTTGCAAGCTGCTCTCCAGAAGCCAGCTCGGCTTCATGAAGCTGCTGCCCACAGCTTTCTCGAGAGCTCAGAACTTGGGGAATAACCTAATAGTGTCCCTGGCTGTGGAGAACATCATGACCCTACTGGCACACGGGCTGCTTAAAAGGGCGGACATGCTAATGGGGAAGCTCTTTCCTCCCCTCGACCCTATTCCACTCAGCAGCCATCTGTTAAGACTGAAATGGAAACCTCCAAACTCTCCTCCTGAGAGACAGAACGAGCAGATGTCTCCCAAGCTACTGTTCCAGGTGGCTGCAGATCATCCTCCCGAACAGTTCAGGTGCAAAAAAGCAGCAATGCTTACGATAGCACTGATCCCTTCTCCTCCCTCGGGGACTTTGGGAAAGGCATCGTAGATTGAAGACACATAAGTTATCACAGACTTCTCATCTGGAGATGGGACGTCCACATCTGGAAGAGGAAAAGAGAAGCACAGTAAGGCAGAGGGACACAAGCTGGCGGAGAGGTCAATCTTTCCCAGCACGAGCCAGTTTTGCCTACTGGGTCTGGCCAATTTCTCACCTTCTGCATCCAGCAGCCGAGTGACTCCCAGCCGCTCTGCAATCTCAAAGGCCTGCTCCAGATTCTCTCGGTTGCTCTGTATTTGCACCCTCTCCATGTCCACCAGATCTGGCCTGCAAGACACACGCCAGAGTCCTGATGCAGGTGCTGGCAAACAGCACAAAGTGCCTGGGGTAGAGCAGTCAGGGACAGGCATCGCTGAGCCCAAAGGCTGCGCCCACAGCCCGGCCCCTCGGGAGACTCACTCCGAGGCCCCGTCCCAGGCTAGTGACACTCCAAGGGGAGCTGGGCTGCACCACCTCCCCAGCTAATCCCCTTTGGGAAGGGGAAAGATCAGGCAATTCTCCTAAAGAGCTGGGTAAGGAGCTGCCTCTTGTTTTCAGTCCTGAAGCAAGAGCAGGGGATAAGGCAGCTTCTGTAGGTGGCACCGCAAGGGATCCTACTCCAGGCACACAGGAGGCAAATCCTGCAAACCAGCACCCTGCACGAGACTGGGACAGGAGGATTGTTCAGGCTATGCAGAAAAGCCTCTTGCTTTACACTTCCCTGGGACATCCCCCTTCCAGGGAACAAGGCTGAGGCCTGTGAGATCTCCCCTTGAGGAAGGTACATGAAACATCAGCCCTGAATAAGAGCGCTTGAGTCTCTCCAGAGAGCCCAGTAGAACCCATTTTCCAGCAGCAGAGCCGAGGGGACACGGCAGACCCAGGTCCTGCCAGCCCCGCATGATGCCGTGGCAGGAGGAAGCTCCGCTAACAGACCAGTGTGAGCAAATCAGCATCACAAAGTGCAAACGAGAATTCGGGTGAGCGCAGCAGAGCCAAGGAAATTGCAGCCCCGCCAGTGCGTTTCTGCACACACCACTCTCCTGGTGAGGTCTCCTCCCTGCCACGTGCCACCTCTCCTCCCTGTCCCTTGCCAACGACAGTCTTCTGCTTCCCTCCCTGCTAAACTTCCCTGTTCACCCAGGGGCCAGCCAGAGGCTAGAAAAGAAGTGTGAAGTGTGAAGTCCCCTTGGCCAAGCAGCCGGGGAAGTCAGCTGCTGAGCTCTCTCCCCAGCCCTGACTCATTGCTGACACTGAGCAAATGGAAGGAGCGTGGTGCTGTGCGGTCTCTCACAAAGAGCTGTGAGAGGTTTCATTACTGCTTGGGGAGACCTTTGGATGAAAGCATTAAGTGCTGTTACTCATTGACAGCAGAATGGGAAGCAGCAACACTTAAAACACTGCAGCATTCCCATACTCTAGTTTAAACGCTTTTCTTTTTTGCCTCCTTCATCCAAAAGAGGATTTTTCTTGTGACTCAATATATTTGCCACTTTTCTGAACACTCACTCCCCAACTACCCAGCAGAGGAGCTGCTAGAGAAAAAAACGTTGTTCCCCAAAACCTCACCTACTGTTGCATGTCCAAGCACTCCAGACTCACCAAATCCAGAGGTGGGAAGGGACCCTGGGAAGTCTCCAAGCCCATCCTCCCGCCCCGGCAATGTTCTCCATTGCTGCCTTCTGCCTACCTGTATCTGTGGATGAGGGCATTGAACATCTTCCCATCGCTCCAGCATGAGGAGAAGTTGGTGCACTTCACTCCAATGTAACCTGCTGTCACCTTCTGCGTCCACAGGAGCAGCTTCTCCTTGGCCGACATATCCCCCGACTCTCCACTGATGTAGATATCGGAGATCTGTGAGGGTGCAGCACAGCCATGGGGTGACTTAGGAGAAGGAAAGAAGCCACTGGGCACACCTAACCTCTATAAAAATGCACTACGCGTGCTGCCAAGGAGTGAGAAGTCGCTTACAGTATTTGGGGCTTCTGAGTGCTTGTGGGAGCCTCATATTAAACCTCCAGGACAAGGGTCATTAACTAAAGAGTGCATTAGGCAGATGGGGCACCTCTGGCCTGCCCTGCTCCTAGGGGCTATGACACAGATTCACTGAAAGCAGATCAGGCAACCCCCAGGAAATGCCATGAGGAAACTTCTTGCCATCATGTGCAAAAGGAGACCCTATGGCCAACGGGCTTGGAAACAGGAGAGCATCGAGGTGCTGAAGTGCTGCGTGACCTGGGCCAGCTGAGGAGTCCCCAGACGGGCAGCTGCGAAGGAGGCACAGCCTGTCCCTTGTCCTGCTCAAGAGCTGGTGTCACAGCACCTCCATGCAACTCGCAGCAGTGCTACTGCCAACCCATCTCATGGGTGGCTGTGCTTGGAGAACGGGGACAGGAAACCAGAAAGAGAAACCCCAAGTTTCCCATGCTTCCCCTGGTCCACACAAGATTGCAAAAAAACCTAACAAGGAGGAAACAGTGCTCAAAGGTGCAAACCGAGAATAGCCACGAGCGCAGAGCGGAGGAGCCGACCAGCAGCGGCGAGCAGGGGTCTCCCTTGGCCACCACCAGCAAGCAGAGCGGCTCCCAGCAGGGCCACCGGCTCCAGGCAGGGCCACCGGCTCCGAGCAGTGCTTTCAGGGGGACAGGAAGGGTGGGAAGAGGGTTGCCACGCGCCCCTCTGCCTGGCTGTGCCTGGCAAGGCACCGGGGTACGGTGACCCACTTTCCCAACAAAAGCGATCCATAGTCACAGATTCCTTTAGATAAACGCCCAGGACAGGCTGCAAATCCCAGACTCGCACGTGACAAAACGCACGTGTCTCTGCACGCCAGAATATTTCTGATTGACGCAGCTTTCTCCTCTCCCATCCCCTCCCCACCAGCTCCTCAATTAGTGCAACTACCTCCCCTTCATTAAGGGGCAGACAAAAGGGAGGGTCCGAGCCGCACATATTCCCGCGGCGGAGGCAGGAGGATGCTGGTGGCATGCCAACCCCGGTTATGTGCTTGCTGCATCCCTCGCTGCCCGGCACTGCCGGGAAAAGGTGTAGCCACAGCCCAGCCCTATCTGCTACCGCATCAGGGCTCCTTAACGACCCCTCCACGCTCCTTTCCCCTAGTCCTTAAAATATCTCCTGGCTTTATTCCTTGTAAGACAAGAGCTCAAGAAATCCTCAGCCGCATCCCGGCTCCTGCTACCCCTCGGCCAGGCCGCGGGTGCCGGCTCGCAGCCCAGCACCGATCCCCCTTGCAGGCAACAAAAAGACAGCTGCTGGATTAAAGACGAACCGCTCCTGCCTCCC